TTTTTTTTTGCCTCCGAGTATTCTCAGAACACGTGTGATATATTTTTATCTTCTTTCAAGTTCAGGGCAATTGAGCACAGGGCAATAAGAGTATTGTTGTAATGTTTTAGTCGAAGTGGACTCGAGATGACAGGCATAAATTAAGAAACAAAAAGAAAACAAAACAAAAAAATCCCCAGTAGTTTTGGACTTGGTGATTGGTACCATTTTACCAAAGACACGGGCAGTATCCGTGGAACTGGAACTGGCTGGCAGTCGATCGATCCTCTGGAGTTCACTGGAGTGGATGCGATGCATTGATTAGGTAAAGGGTCTTTAGAAACTTGTACTTTTGGATCGCTGTTAGACGCAACCGTTTAAGAGTCCAGAACCGAGACTTGACTGACTGTACCTGATCCAGTCTCCACTCCCTTGGTTCTCCTCTTTTCCCTCCTTCACATCAAATAATATTTTATCATCTTATTAAATTGTGATTGCTTCCCCTCTCTTTCCGGTGTCTTGGTTTTTTATTTACCCTTTCCTTGCCCACTTTCTCTCCTCTCTCTCGCTTTCTCTCTGCGTCTCCCTCCATCCTCTGGACGAAACACTCCTTCGTTTGGACCTTCAATCATTCGCCCACCTCTCGCTCTATCCTACAGACATTCATTTCTGTTTTTAATTTTGACTCAGCTTTGATCGTGTCCCCACCAATCTTTTTGTGTCTCTTCCTGTGTGTCAACCAACCAACTGGAAAGGAAGAACAGGAAAAAAAAAAAAATACCGTGCAGTGCCTCGGTTCCGATTGATAGTTCATATTCCGTTACGTTGGTTTGCTTGGCTGGCAACCCTATCCGGGGACTTTAAACTATTGGCTTGCCGTGTAACCTCAGCCATACTTATCCTTCCGTTCTCTGCATTTAGGTTATTGATAACCTATCCAATCTTTGTTTTACTTTTTCTTTTTATTCTCTTATTTTCTGTCTTTTTTTTTCTTTTTCTTTTTTTTACTCTTCGATCTCCTTACTCCTCCTTTCCAATTTTCGTGGTCCTCGACAAAGCAAAATAATCCAAATAGGACAAAGAAAGCTTGAGAGGCAACCCAGTCTACAACCCAGCACAGACGACAAAACGGGTTCCACTGGTAGACTCCCACAGGAACGTTACCCCCTCTCACGCGCACCACACCACAATCAAGACCCAAGGGATAAACCACTCGCTCCTTGGCTCCTATAATTAAGGAGGTTCGGTACAGGTCTTGACTGTCGACTCTGCATATTCGTATACGTTACACGCGAGTATTGTCAATCGTCCTTATCGCGAACAGCTCCTGTCAACTTTGAGAGAGAGAGAGTGGGTGTGTGTGTGTGTCTACCGTGCTTGACTGCATCCCGTCACGTCGTACAAGCGCCTTCCTACTATCCCTAAGCTTATCCACTTCCATTCGATTCTCGCCAGCTTGGATGTCTGGCTTCCCTTCTTATACTCCTCTATCCCCGTAGTTCCTCACCATCGCAACCTACATTACTCTTCCCTTAATACCATTGTGACTCCTTCTTTCGCTTCCTTCATTCATCACACACCATGGCGAATTCACAAGAGCTCCTGGATGCCCCGGATGGGTCCGCATTGACCTGGATCTTTGACCACTGTCTTCGTTACCCTGGTTCTTACGAACTTCCATTACGCACTATGTATGCATTGAACTGCAACCCAACGAGACAGCCGCCACCCGCCAACCGTGCTCCCGAGACAGCTTTCTGCGAGCGCCCATCCCACTCGCCAAAGTCTTCAGTGTCGTCCCAGGACGATGCTTTGGATCGTGCCGCCGATTTTAGGGCATTGCTCACCCATCAGATCTCCCGATTGCCGTCACAGCCATGCTCTCTGCCTCCCAGCTTTGTGACCTCCTTTCTGCGTCGCTGTTTCACTTTGGAGTTGGGTGACGTTGACTTTCCTCAGGCGTTGACTGGTCTTGATTATCTCAGAGATCTGGAGATTCGTCGAAGGAAGGAGGTGAAAGCGGCCCTGGACCGTTTGCAGATCAAGCCGGACGATCTCAAGGAGAAAGAGGAGCTTGGAAAGAAATGGCCCAATGTCTTGGCCTGGCTTGAGTCCAACTGCGCCAAAAACCGCACGGCTGAGGCACTCTATACCCAGGTCTACATTGGCCTACGCCGCTGGGTAAGTCACCATGTCTAGTCTTTTCCTCAATAGGTGACTAATGATTTCCCCCAGACCCTGATCAATGAGATGCTGCTTGAACCACACAACAAGGCCAATTGTATTGCCATGCTTAACACTCTATTCCCACCCATCACGGATGCAACCGTCAACCCTACGCCACAGTTGACTGCTAAGATTCTCAAGTCTCAACGGGATGGGTTCTTCCGATACATTGCGGCCTTCGATAAGCCCAATGGAAAAGAGATCCTCCAGAAGGTCATCACGCAGGGCGCACCGGAGGGAGAGGAGACGGGATGGCCGCTAGTGCGGGACGCTTTGGATAGGTACCTTCGGCTTACCAACGAAATCATCGATGACTGTGCCATGGTCAATGATCAGAGCAGTCTTGAGGTGGTTGTGGAGGCGGAGTCTCAGCCCCGTCGGAAGGTGGATTCAGGCATCAGCTTCGGCTCGGCAGACAAATTCCACGCCCCATCTGTTCACAGCAGCAACGGCTCCGAGGAAATCTTGGACAAGCCGTTGCCACCGGCCCCGAAACAAGCTCACCAGAAAACGGGTGGATCCGCATTGGAGCGGCTAACACGAGAGCTACGAAAACTCAGCGACGCTGGAAAGGTCAAGAGCCTCAAGAAAATGAAGTCCTCAAGCGCACTTGCCATGCGACCGGAAAATATTCCCAGCCACACTCCTGATAACTCATCCTTCTTCGAGATCGATGACCAGAAACGAAAGCGTCTAATTTGGGAAGCTACTAGCCGCAAAAGGGCTCATAGCAAACAGCCCAGCAACGACTCACATTGACTGTGATTCGATTTTATTCGATTGATTGTACACTTACGACACCTTATTTATTCTTTTTCTCCACTAAAAAAGCAGGCAAGACAAAAGCTGATGTTCTACCATTGGGATTGTAATGGAGTTGGCCGTTTGATTCGTCTCTTTGTGATTTATCTTGTTACTTTCGGGTTGGGAGCGCAATTGCTAGCTATAGGCGTCTTTGTTCGGTCTTTCGGCATACAAGAGGAATTGGCGTGCTATTTTTTTTCTTCTCTTTCTTCTCTTTTTTTTTTTCCACATTGGGAGTTTTGAGCATGGTGGATTATTTCTCCCAGGTTAAACAGGAGAACCTCAACAACAGCAAAAGATAAAATGGCTAGAGAAAAGCCTTGATGGATGTTACTATATGATGATGATTTTATGAATTGATATCTGTTGTTAGTTAATCTTAGAACTGGTGTAGCTTATATTTGGATTTGTGTAGATAATAAATCTGCGAACTCATATATAAGAGCGGGCACGAGTAGTTTCCATGCATTAAACGTGACTACAGCAATATCTAAAAGTGTATAGGACTAAGGCTTCCGTCCCATATAGGGGAAACCAAGCGCTTTTACGAGGGCGTCCCGAATACAATGATCAAGAAGGCATTTATAAAAGAGGGATGGAGGTAGCAAACTTCAGGATTGAGAACCCACTTGCCTTCGCAGCATTCAAAACCTCAAGTGCTATGTCTGGAATTCTCGGGGAATCCATACGTACAAAAAGGCTCAGTTTAGTTAAATGGGGCAGTTTTGTGGTCTGAGCATCTGAAAGGCCCTCAATCAAATGAGAGATGCACTTCAGATGATCATCATCAAACGTCTCGAGATACAAGTCGAACCTTTCAATAGACGCTGGCAACAGCTCGATCAGTTTGGGCCAGGCTGGATGTCCAACCGACTCAGTTTCATCCCATTCCATATCTCTCATCGACGGATCATATGCCGGACCACACAACATATCGACGCCTAAATCAAGAACTGCCAACTTTTGAAAACGAGTCATATCCACCAGCGTGGCCCCTCTATTACACCACTCTGTGAGAGTTGTCACCGACAATTCCTTGAGTGTCTTTGCACAGATATTTTGCACCGTATCCAAAAATGCACCCACGTTCCAGTTATAACCACAGCCATGCCACTTGGTCTCATGAGAGAACTCAAGGCTTTCCAGGTTTGGGATTCGCGAGAGTAGCTGTGATAGCTCTCTTGAGCCAGCAACAGAGGATTCTATACGCAATTTCCGCAAGTTTGTGCTATAGCATTCCACCAATGGGTCGAAGGCGTATCCAGTGTACCCGTCATCCTTGAAGACGCAGCTACCCAAGTAGACTTCGGACACGGAATTGATCGCTAGTAATGGTACGAATGGTGTCAATGGGGACTTCTCCTCATAGCCCATGTCACGGGAGGGCTGCACGACCGAGAGCTTTGACAAGGGGGCATCGGGGAATTCCTCCTGGTGATTTGCCCGGTGTGTAATCAGATTGAGGACCGGCCACAGACGCGTATCAGAAGGTTCCACTTCGCCCCAGCGTGGATGTAAAGCTATTTCGCGCACTTGTGATAGCAATGTCAGAAGAAAGACGTCTGCATCTACTGTGGACTCCCGAATTCTTCCAACCCAATCATCGGGATTTCCCCCAACGGCCTCAACAAAAGGCGACGTAAGTACCAAGTCCCTTAGAGCTTTAGGTACCTCGGCTTCCAGGGAGTTTATCACTTCTTCATCTTCCTCGTCATCTCCATGCTCTCTAAGGTCAATGGATTGTATGTATCGCGCCACAGAAGGATCCAGTGCGATTTGTTCCAGTAGCTCCCGTGTGGTCACAATCTTGATGCCCGTCTCCTGGGTAATTTCATCCCAACGGTCAACTAAGCCGGGCTCCTCCGCTCCTTCTGGCCTTTCTTCGACTTTTTTTGAAAACTCAAAGTTTTGAAACCGTTTCCGTCGAGTGGTATATTGCTCCCGAAAAGGAGCGCTGGCAGCAAACATGGCTTTACAGGAGAGGGCAGCAGCTTCAAAATCCACTGGGATCGTTTCTTGTACGACCTGTATCAAGAGTTCCAGGGGGAGGTCAAGCAACGACATCATGGAAAGGGGTGGATGAGGGCAAAAAAAAAAAA